TTCCATGTGACAGTGAACTGAAAATGGACATCATGATCGAAATCCATAGCTCAAAGTTTGTCATGCATCATGAAAGCACTAAAATGTATCAAAATATGCGACCCTGATTTTGGTGGAACGGGATGAAAAGAGATGTGACCGACTTTGTTCCCAAGTGTTTGGTATGTCAGCAAGTCAAGACAGAACATCAATGCCCAAGTGGGCTACTCCAACCATTACCAATTCCGAAGTGAAAGTAGGAACACATCACAATAGATTTCGTGACAGGATTGCCTAGGACACGCTCGGGACATGATGTCATTTCGGTAATTGTTGACCACCTCACCAAATCTTCCCACTTCTTAGCCATCAAAATGACCGACCCTTTGAACAAGTTAGCAATAATGTATATCCGAGAAATAGTCAGGTTACATGAAGTGTTGGTGACAATAGTATCCGACAATGACTCTAGGTTCACTTCTCGGTTCTGGTATAGTTTTAGCAAGTCATGTGAACGAAACTGTTTCTTAGTACCGCATTCCACCCTAAGACCGATGGACAATTCACACACTGAAAAATATGCTCCGAGCTTGAATTCTTGACTTCGGAGGCCATTGGGATGATCATTTACCCCTAATAAAGTTTGTCTACAATAACAGCTAGCAAACAAGTATCGGCATGGCTCCGTATGATGCGTTATATGGCCGCCCATGCAGATTGACGATTTGTTGGGAAGAAATAGGTGATAGAAAATTGTTCAGTCCAGATCTTATGGAGGAGACTACAGCCAAAATAGTTAAGATTAGGAAGAACATTTAAACGGCTTAGAGCAGACAGAAGAGTTATGCAGATATTCAAAAAGGGATTTAGAATTTGAAAAAGGTGATCGAGTGTTTTTTAAGGTCATTTCTTTCAAGGGAATCAGTAAGTTTGGCAAGAGAGGGAAACTAAATCCCCGGTTTATTGGGCCATTTGAAATCTTAAACAGAATTGGCACTGCTGTCTACAGACTGACACTACCTCCAAAACTACCTAGGGTCCATAATGTCTTTCATGTGTCCATACCACGCAAGTACAACTCGGACCTCTTTCACGTCTTGGCCCACGAGTTTCTTTCACTTCAGGAGGATCTTTTCTACGAGAAGGTATTGGTAGGTATTATGTACCGAAAAAGCAGAGTACTTTGCAACCGAAAAATTTCCTTCGTTAAAGTCCTATGATAGAATCACACATACAGAGAAACTACATGGGAGCTAGAATCAGACTTTAGAGACAAGTATCCCCAACTGTTTGATTGAGTGAGAGAGAGACAAATTTAAGAGACCAAATTTCTTTTAAGGGTTGTAATAACTGGTTCCGAAATTTGGTCGGAGATTAATTTTAAAATTAAAATTAATATATAAAAATATAAATTTTAAATTGGTAAATTTCTATTTAATGTAAAATTAGGAAAAAAAATAGGTGTAGGATGAAATTGAAAACAATTTTGGGAAAAAAAAGGTGAAAATTTGAATTTAGGAGGTGTTTTTTTTTAAAAAAATAGAAACTATGGGTCAAAACGCAATTTAAGAAAAATATACCACGTAGGACTGGCCAGTTAGCAGGCCCACGAACCGGAGCGCACCGTTTGGCAATGCACGTTGACTCAGCGCCACGCGGGAGGCCACGCTGGCAATCTGCATGCCCGTGATCAGACAGCGCGGATGCGTTCCCGCTCGCGTGGGTGGTCCGGATCCGCTCCCTCCTCAAGTGCGATCGGACGGTCGCAATTAAACGCAATGAACAGCTCAAATTCGTTCCCTCTTTAAACGCAATTGTATGATTCATATCAAATCGCGATGAACGGTCTAGATTCATTTTCTCTTTAAACGCGATCAGACGGTCGAGATCAAATACGATGAACAGTTGAAATTAAAGAGAGATAGGTATAAATATCTCACTTCACACCGAATCCTAACCCTAGCTGCCAGCCTCTCCGCCAGAGAAAGGAGCCGACTGCCGCCCGCTGCCACGCTAGAGCCACATCCGACTGCCAAAAAAGGTAAAAATTCTCTTATTCGTTCGAAATTTTATTTTGCACACCCATATAACTAAATCGGAGCAAAAGGACCGGTGGATGAGACGGAAACCGTGGATAAAGTCTAGCGGCGCCGCCACGGAAAAAATTAAAAATCGCCTTCGATGAACCCCTTCCCGATTCCCGTCTTCTGCAATTTTTCCACAATTGTATTCATCATTCTATTTTCTACAGGTTGACCGAAGAAAAACGCTAACCGCAAAGGTGAGCCAGAGGAGCTGCTGCACCGGAGAATTCTACCGCCGATAAGTTTTTATTTTTTGACTTTTTTCGGCCAATTGAGTCCAATTAACGTATTTTCTCACAAGAATAAGTATAAAATCGGCCAAAATCAGCCAAAATTGACCAAAAATGGTCAACTTGAGGCAAACCACCTCTGCGAGCAGCAATATCGTCGCCGAAGCACGGCGGTGCCACCATGCCGAAATTCCGAAATTGACCGAAAAAAGTTTTTGACATCGATTTTGGATTTTTTGGGATATTTCTACATACTTGAAGCGTGTTTTAATCTCTGAAAGAAAATTCAGGGAATCTGGGGACTGCCAGTAAGCGCAGCTGAAAGTTGAGTATTTCGCATACCAATTCGGGTAAGAATCCATCACCTTATTCCCTATTATGAAATTGAAATCTAATTATAAATAATACGGTATTTTACATAATTTAAAAAATTTCGATAATTAATTACAGGTTGCTAATGGAATCGGAATCAGTTATTTATTACTGTTTGTCATATTTTAACGGATTGTTTAATATTATAGTTTTAAATGAATAATAATACACTAGAATTGGTAAGATGATTCAGTTATGTTTTCTTGATGCATGTATTGCTTGTCTTACGTGATTTACAGTTAAATTATAAAATTAAAAATTTATTGTAAACGGGAATTAATTGATTAAGTGAATGAATGAAAGGTAAGCTTACTGAATATCTTGAGAGATGGTGAACGGACCGGGTACATAAGGAACCCTATCGTGAATGTCGCCTCATACCAAATGAAGTATCGATGATTAGTATTTTGGCGCTCAAACCATATGAGGTATGGGGTCGGCCCATTTCACCTTCATACCGCATGAGATATTAAGGGATGACATTTTTAGCAGTCATACCGGAAAGAGTGTGGGGACGGTCGGTTAGTTGACAATTTTGAATAACGGTTCACGCGTAATGGGGACATCCCTATAAATCCTCATTGATACTAGTAGACAGATAAAAAGGAAAACTTATTATTCTCACTTTCTTGAATATGAAATTATGATGTTATTGAGTTATTGTCCCTATAGGTCGGTTTTGGAAATCTCGCTACGGTAAATATACAATAAATGATTTTATTTATGATAAATGAATTTACTTAAATTAAGAGTTCTATTATTTATTTTTATGATTTTTAGTAACTTTCATTTCTGTATCGGTGAGTAGCATGATATTCTTATTGGGCTAATGTACCTCACACTTTCATTAATAATTTGAAATCAAGAGAACCAAAATTCAGATCCCGATCAATAACAAGGTTATGAATAGTTCACCACCCGGACCCCCGTTAAAGGCTAGTGAAGGTCATTTTAAAATATCTAATTGTTTACTTTTCATTTATTTCTTAATTTTTCGCTTGTTCTTTTAGAATTGTCATTCCCATACCCTATTGGGTATTCTAAATTATTGTGTAAGGAATGTAAACTCTAATTCTATCATTTTACTTCCGCATTCAATTTATAATCTTATTTTTTTTAAAGTTCTGGACCGTTACAAATTCTTTGTCCTCATCAATGCCACATATTACAATCACAAGTCATAGTCTAAGGGCCACAAGGTCTAAGATTGCACTAACTTGAAGCCATCAAACTAGCACGTGCTATAGTTTGGAACATCTAGTAGACTCAAATTAGTAAATCCTAAAAGTTTTAAACCAAGTTATTAGAGTTCGTGTCTTAACAATATATATTCCTAATATGAGATTGGGTATCACAAAAACTTTCAAGTGGAGAGGGTTTGATGGAACCTCCTTTACAATGATGTGTAGGAAAAAAGAAGAAAAAGGTAGAAGAGGAAGATTTTGAGGTGAGTTTATGCCCCACTTAATCATGCGTCACCTCTTTTGATTTAAAATGGCTTACAATAAATAGAGAAATATATGGAGGACAAGTTTTACTCAACATAGAAAAAGATATAAGGGATAAGAAAAAAATTTGAGTTTTTAGAGTATTGCCTCCTCTTTTTTGCCATTAAATTTATGGTTGGAATATGTATTTTTCTGCCCAATCTTTGGGGCAACTATGCATTCAAGATAAAAAGACCAGGTTTTTGCAGAGAGAGAATATTTAATTGGTTTTTAGTTTTTTACTTTTTACTTTTAAATATAAAAATCATAGTTATTATTTTAATGGAAATAAAAAATCAGAAATTAAACAAATGTCTATGCTAATAAACATCATTCATGCAAAAGATGTCAATCACTTGCTACACGTGCATATTAACAACAATAATGGATTATAAACAGTCATTACGGTTTCCATCAACTCATCAGCTTTGTTGAACACAATAATTTAAAATAGTAGAGGAGCTTACTTAGGCTTTCAGCCAATACTTAATTATGTTTCTGAGCAAGGACAATTAAGCTCTTAATAAAATCATAGATCCTAAATATTCTTCAGATCCACAAATTCTATATTTTAAATGAGAACTTCGTTATCACAACCAAAAATGAGTCAAAATGGAATACTTCATCAAAAAAAAAAAAAAAAAGAACACAAGCCAAATATGCTCGGGCTCTTGGCCCATAAAAAATTTGGCCAACCTAATAATAAACTGATGAAAATGACATGTCATATAGGTATATAGAATTAATCCCTTAGTTTGCAAGAAAACTTAAATAGAAGTAATGTTATCAGTTGAATTGACCAAATGCATTGTTCAAACAGGGCCAATGAAATTATACAAGAAACTAACCTCATGGAACTCAAACATCCAGCACAAAAAGAATTAGGAATCTTTTCTTGCTTCTGCGTCATGATTTCTCCAAGGATTAAGAGCTTCTCTAATCACCTGAGCCTCCGAGGAACTTTCCCAAGCCCGCTTCTCTGACTCCAGAACGGTCACTTTGTCATCTTTGAGGTACGAAAACAACAGTTATGCTACAGTTTCGGCGAAAAACTTATTTTAAAAAGAGTTTCAACTACAGATTACTTCAAACAATGTGTTGGATGACTTTAATAGAATGCAACATGAGTTTCATCAAACAACATGGACAATTATTTGGCAAGTTAGTAATAATGATCAGGACGATGTGAAACAAAATCAACCAACTTCTCTTATCAAAAGTAAAACAGAATAAGCTAACGAGCTAAAGCATCTGTGCTGGAACCAACTTCAATATTCATTCAAATAATTCAGAATTCACAGCTTATACAACTGCAATCTTGCATCAGAAAGCTTCAAATTCTAAATACAAATTGTATTATTTCTATTTAGAGATTGTATTAGAAACCTATTCCTGAAACCACACTGCTCATCAAGGTCAAGTCATCTTTCTTGGACACTAAACTAAGAGCAGTATTGTGGAGTCTTGAAGTTTCTTCACTAAAAAGCTGTTTGCAAAGGTGAAAGTCAGGAGGAGTGCTAATTTATACTCATGTAACAAACCTGTTGGTAATGAAAATTAAGTGAACTTTTATTGAAGGTTGTGCACACAATGTGCAACACAAGGAAAGCAAATTGTCTGCTATATGTGAACAGACATGTCTCATAATATTCACAGACGCAGAAGAAAACAAAATCCAAATTATTGTTTTTTAAATAAGTAGATCATTGGACAATGCATTAGCATCAACTTTACTAGCATTTACATTGACTTTGGTTCAAAGCTCCAATTTTATGGGATGCTAATGAGAATATTTTACAAATAATTTAAATTTGAATGGAAATAGGAGTCTAATTTTAAGTTAATTCTATGTTTAATTCAAATTAACTGTTTTTATGTCAAAGAAGGAATACAAAATCCATAATTATATGAAATTGAAGGTAGGAATAAAGTTGATTTAGTTATCATCAAATATTTAAATTATAACTAACTTCACATATAAAATAACTAAGCTATTAGGAATAAAATGAGAAAAGAATAGGTTTGAACCAAACGCAACATTATTGAAGAGACCAAAAAAAGATAATTACCATAAAGATCCTTCAAATTAAGCTCTTTAAAGAAGAACAATAACATGCTGCAAATTTTTAATAGAGAGCAAAAAGAGGGGAAAATCAAATAACGAAGCAGAAAAGGAGGGTTCTCACACAGAAGCCAGTCTTAATCATGAACAACTCCATGGAACCTCCAACAAGTGCTGACCCAACAGCAATCTTCAAGTACCAATCCAGAAACTTTGTTTTCATTTTGCACTACATAAATAGTTTATGAAATTCAAATTTAACGAGAAAACTATTTTAAGACGAAAATTAGGTTACTGTTACAAGAACACATACATGATACCATTTGTAGAAACGTAACTTACATTTTTATAGAGTAGATGGAGAAATTGTTCAAGATTACTATTCCTTTAGATCTGGGCTCAGACTCTGTTCTATAATAGGTTCTGTTTTTCTCTTTCTTCCACGCCAATACTGAGTAATAATAGCAGAAGATTAAAGCATAAAAAAGAAATAAGTGATACGACTAATCATATTGAAGCCACTCCAACCAGGAGTTTATTTAAAATAATGAACTTTGTTTTGCAAAATTTATACAGTGAAAAATAAAAAAAAGCATTCTAAACATTTGGTGTATATTACAAAAGTATGATTCTATTTTGAAAATCTATAATAACCTAATTGATACTCAATTTGAGCGTTTAATGCCTTGAAAATATTAAATCTTAACAAGGATTGTCATAGATGCCCTTTATTTTTCTTTTCCAAATTCCATTATTAATTCGCTTCCTCCCTCTCCTCTCTCAAACAAGCAACTGAGAGCAGTTGGTTCACCTTTCCAGATTATTTTTCTCCTCCTCCAAAATGCCAATACCCTTTTTGTAGAATTGCATGTAAAGGTTTTTATTAATGAATTGAGACTTGAAACATACTATTATTGGCCATTTGAGCAAGTTATAAACTGAGTAAACCAATAATTGATATATATCCTGCACCAACACTATGGAAACATAAACCTGAAAAAAAAGAAGCAAATAACTAAAAACCATGACATTGCAACAGTAATAAAGTAGACACCTGAAGACAAGCATCAACAAAGCAATATGGTGATAACTTGAAAGGAAATTACACCGTCTGAGCAGGCCAGGAAAGAATTAAAGAAGTTAAGGGAATATAACTGCTTCAAAACTAACAGTTGTCCAAAAAAGACATCCGACTATAAGCGACACCAGCCAAGCAGAAAATACCAGAAAGAGAATATAAACTTTGTTTGATGCATTTCAACAAACATATAATATGCACTTTATCAAATATAACACCAATCCAAGCCTCCTTTTCATTGTTCTTTTTACTCATGATAGTCACAACCATTGCAGCTCTTGACCTTCAAGAGCTGCGAGCGCCATTGCCCAAAACCATGCCACAGAACAGAAGCTGCGGCAATCACAGCCTCATCAACTAACCAGTTAACCTAATTAAATACTCTGTTCTAAAACCCCCATGTCGCAAACCAATGAGCAAACTCTACATCTATTTCTCCTCTAATAGAAAAGAAACGACCCGATTCAAGATTTAATAAGAAGAAACAGGCATTTGAACTTGAATATTGCATAGCTATACATTTGAGAGGATGAGTTTAAGTTTGAAGAGAAATACCAGAACAGCAGAGCCGGGAACAGTGTATTCTTGTGATACAGCAACTAGCTTCAATTTTCAGGGAAAGGCTACAGAGTATAGCAACGGGGAACGGGTTGCCATATTTTTACATTAAATTAATTTAATTTAATTAAAAAATTAACAGTTTCTCATCATTCAGCAATATCAAAATCGGATTAAATTTGATCATTTCAATCATAAATATGTCTGTTAGATATATTTTACTGTTGATTCTTTAAAATTTGATAATCGAATTGATAAAAATCAATAAATTATATGATAAATTTAAATTAACTAATGAAATTTTAGTGTATTTATCTTATTTCTATAAATTTTAACAAGGAATTTTGATTTCTTAAATTTTCAATTATAACATAGAATTTTATTTAATATGTTTTTTATTTTTTTTATTTTTTAATGTGTCAAAATATTATACATTTTATTACCTCATTGTTAGCTTCAATGTGAAGTTTTAATTGTAAAATTTAAAATTATTATAATATCTTATATATTACTCAATTATAGATATTATAAATTATATCCTTATTTTCTTTTAAGCGAGTAGGAAGCAATCAGATGATCTGGCGCGTGGGAAGCAGAGAAACGAGAGGGACCTCCAACGCTGCAAAGGGACGAAAACGTACCTTCTCGTCATCTTCCAAGCATCTCCACCTGATCAAACCAGACAGCAGACCACCGTCCTCTTTGATAATCCCTCATTTTATTTTATAATAATTAATAAATAATTAACTGAAATTTACAGAGATTGTTTAGTAATTTTAATATTATTATTCGCCTGTTATTATCGCCTTCCACTACTAAAGATCTTTGTAGCTTCTATCTCTTTCTCTCTCTCTCTCTCAATCTTTGTTGGGTGTTTCTTTAAGAGTTTCTTTGGTCTTGATTGACTTTAATTCAATTACTTAATAATTTATCGAGATTTGTTCATGGGGGACTCAGTCAAGATTACAGCGCAAGCAACGCAAGCTGTCAGTAATGAAGTTGCCCAGGTTTCGTCTACTCAGGTACTTGCATAGTTAATTCTACTGTCTTCATTTCCACAGTTGCTGATATAGGGTTCATCGATTTGTTTAGCCTTGTATAAGATTTTAAGCTTTAGTGGCACTGACACTGTGTTAATTTGAGTTGGGTTCTGCTGAATCTTGGTGAATTTATGAGTGGTGAGTTTATGGGGGTTTCCTTTGTTTTTCTGACTTTTGGTTTATGCTATCATTTTAAGGAAGAATGGTAAAAGAGATTCTGCATTGATTGGGAGGATATATGTGGCTATCCGGTACCAATATGGCATTTGCTTCTGTAATTATGAGGGTTGTCATTTACTTGTTTGTATTGTGGAATCAAACTGTTCGTTTTGGGGTTAAGTATGCGAATATAGCAAGAGATGGTGAAGTTGTCATAATGTGGAATCAAATATTGTGTTTATTTGAGTTGGTATTTGAAAGATTATTGTGCAAATTCATTCACCAACGAACACCTAATTATCATAGTGGCTTTTTGAATCAACTATAGGTTTTTTTTTTCTTTTTTTTTTTTGGGGGGGGGGGGGGGGAGAGGGAAGAGAAAAGGAATGAAACTCCATTAGAATTTTTTATCTTATTTTGTTGTATGAAGATTCGATGGGATTAAAGCAGGTGAAACATAATTATCCCAAGAATGGTCCACGGAATGAGATAAAGAAACTTAAGGAAATGGCCTTCCTTATTAGATGCTAATGAAACGAAACTAGTTTACAAGATTCCCAGATCTTTAAATCAATAAAGAACTGACTGACCAGCTTGGTATATGACTGGTCATAGCCTTTTCAACTGCTCAAGAACATAAAATAATCATTCACATGATCAGATCTTGTTATTTTTCTGGATTTGCTTAGCCATACTTCTTTATTTAAATATGCCAATAATTGGTACTTGCCTAGTAGATTTTGTGGAATTTTGAAGTCCGTATGACCTAAAATGGTATTAAAATGCTCGTTACAACCAGGCTGCTCAACAAGTTGATGAACATTCAAATGGTGGAGTTTCAAATCCTGGGCCTAGTGGAAAGCACTCAGATCTTTCGCTTCAAATACCTCCTAGACCACTAGGCTTTGGTAGCCGTAGTGGAAAGGGTTTACTCCAGTCTCAAGGTTCCTCCCGAGGTAGTTCATCATCTGGAGGCTTCTTGCGGGGTTTAAGCTTCAAGAAAAAAGGTGCTCTAACTGATGGTGAGAGAAGCTTCCTCCTGAATCCAAGTTCCACAACAACTCCTGAAAGTCCTATGGCTGCTTTGAGATCTGCATTTTCTTGGAAACGATGTACTTCTCTTCCTGTTACACCTGCATCAAAGTTGTCCCCATCAATTACTATGCCTGACTCAGCAAGGATGCCTGGTGAACAAGTTAAATCAAATGTAAATTATCTGATTTATGTGGTTCTGCAAGGTTTATGAATTATCATATTAATCTCTTTCAGGCTATAAGAAAATTTACAAAATGATAAAAGATTTGAATAATAATGGTTTACTGATGGAATTCTTTTTTTTTTGAGAAGAATGGTTTATTGACAGAATAATTCACTATCGTGCAAGGTATATCCATTTGTCAAGGTTTGTTAGCTAGAAATTAGGCTTCTATTGCTTCACCTTCGCATATTATGGCCTGTTTAAACAAAATTGCATGACAATTCCATCTTGTTCACATTCTTTTAGAAAAATATTTGACGAAAAAATCAAATTGGTGCCTATTCTCTGCTCCTAATGGAGGTGAATGCTGTATGGTCACTTAGACCACTTCAAAGTGGATTGAATATTAGCCATATCTTGATGAGAATTTCAAGATGTTCATGGTCAATTTGTGCAGAAGGAGGGAGTCCATGCAGTAGTTTCAAGGTCCCTATCAGTGCCTGTGAGAAATGTTGTCATAGTTCGATCCATATCTTTTGATACGCGTAAAGAACATGCTTCAACAGACTCTAATGGTGGTATGCTTTGTTGCAAATACTATGAAATTTGTCTTGATTCAATCTTCATCTCATAAAGAGATAAAGTTGTATTAAAAGTTGCTATATTTGTGTAGTGTGGAGCAATAAATGTGATATTGATATCAATTTCAAAAGTTTGAGAAAGATCTAATTTAAATACTTGCTCCATTTATTGGAATTTGATTTGGAATAAACAATAGAATTTATATGTTTACATCAATTCTATTTATGTGTATGCACACTGATAAAATCTGATCTCTTTGTATGTTTTATACTATGCATTTCTTTCAACTTGAAGTTTCTTCTTGAGCTTTTAGGATCCTGAGATTGATTTAGGATTTTGAACTCAATGTTCTCTAAATTTCGTTGACTGCACAGAAAACTATATTGTGGTGAAGTTTCCTATTACAAGATTGCACTAAAGAAATTGGTAAATTGTTTAGGGAAGGATGATAGAACTACTTATTTGAAGTTATCTGCTCATTTTTTTTATTTTATTCTTTGTCTCTGTTTTTCCTTGGTAAGGCAGATCAGATTACTCCTCTTCCCACAGAAGGTGAAGATGAAGAAATAGCTGAAGAAGAAGCTGTATGCCGGATATGCTTAGATGCATGTGATGAAGGAAATACACTGAAAATGGAATGTAGTTGCAAAGGTGCCCTTAGACTTCTACATGAAGAATGTGCAGTTAAGTGGTTCACCACAAAAGGGAACAAAATTTGTGATGTTTGTAGAAAGGAGGTCCAAAACTTGCCCGTGACTTTGCTTCGGGTGCCCACCACTGTTCAAAGAGACAATAGACAGGAGCATAATTCACAGATTTCACGCTCGCAAGTAATTAGGTAATAATTTCTTGTGCCTCATAGTCATAGTTATAGTTTGTTATTAATTGTCATTTAGCGTCTACAACACATCTAAGATCAGCTTACTTAAATTTTCTCACTTTTAAGACATTCTCTTCAATTGTTCAGTATGAGCTGAGCTTCCTTTTCTCCGCTAATGTGCTGTCTTGGTCTTCAGCTTTTCTATGTTATCTTCTTTACATATTGGTCTTGAACAATTTTTTTTTTCAACCATGAGCTAACGGTAATTAGTTGCTACTGCATTACCCTTCTTGTCCACTTTTGCATATTCTAATGTATAAGTTATTGTGCAGTGCCTGGCAGGACTTTGTGGTGCTTGTATTAATTAGCACAATATGCTATTTCTTCTTCCTCGAGCAACTACTGGTATGCCAACAGAGCTTAATATTTGTGTACTATTTGCTTTTAAAATGTACGACTTGTATTCTCTATCTCTGTGATTCATTATTCATGGCCATTTAAAGGCCCATCTCATGGTTAATGATTATTACTTTATCCTGAAAGGAGGGATAATGAATGGTTTCGTTTATTGATTAATGTTATTGTCTTTTTTACATGTTCTTCTGCGCACTGAAACATAATTCTATATCTTGGTCCTTTTGTAGATTCATGAGATGAAGACTCAAGCAATCATCATTTCAGCGCCCTTTGCATTTACTTTGGGCCTCTTAGCATCTATATTTGCAATCATCCTAGGTAGATCTGTGCGACAGAAATAATCAGTTTCTAAATCTTTTGTGATTGTCTTAGTTATCTGTTTTAGCATACTTGCAGCAATCAAGGAGTATATATGGACATATGCAGCTCTTGAGTTTGCATTGGTGGCCATCATTGTCCACGTATTCTATACCATGGTAAGTTCTCCAATAAAATATTCTGCTTGTTGATTCTTGTTGAAAAAGTTTCAAATTTAAAGTGGAAAGGTCTAACGAGCAGGCCTTTGTCCAAATAGCGCCCCTTAAACTGGGGTAGACTATAGAAGGAAAGTCAGGGTTCAAATTGTGATCTTGTGTGAAAAAAGGTGGGGAGTGTTATTAACCGAAATGCATACAATTAACTTCTGATTAGTGGGCAGGCAGATTATCCTTATTGTTTGTATCAACTGCCTACTTCTGTTTCACATGAATCCGATTGTGAAGAATTGTTTCTCAGGAATTAGTGGGTTGTGGCTCTACTTCTATGTGGTTTGTTTAGATTAATTGTCTAAAGCAAAAAGCTGCATCCTCGTGGCTGTAAATAGATAAGTAAGAGCCATTTAGGTTCTGTTGTCTGTGCCTCTATGAACACAATTACGTTCCTCCAAATGCAAAATTCATTTTTCTTTGAATGTCTAGTTAATCTTTATGTTATATGTTGGTTGCATAATTAACATCTTTAGGTTAAGTTTTGCCAAGTATTTTATCATTGAAGACAACTTACATATGGACTTGAAAAACACCTATTTAGGAATGACAATAAAGCAAGTGAATTCATTTACTTGTCCCAACCTTATCCAAATGGAGCAGCAAACAGATAAGTGACTGATAATAGGATGACTACGAGCAGAAAAAAATTTATTTTGCGGGTATAGGATGGACATGGACTTTAGAGCTTTCTCATTCCCTCTCGTCTTGTCCGCATGTCATGGTCACATTATATAAATATATATATATATTTCAAAACTTAATTTTGAATTTATATTTTTATTTTAAATTTATTAATTTGAATTGTACATGTTTTAAATTTTAAATTTCATATTAGCTTCATATTATTTGTGTGATACTAAAAATATCTTAAACTGTTTTTACTTTTAACTTGTATTATTTATATCTAAATTTTTATGAAGTAGAAAACTGAGGGTGACATGATTAGAAATATCCTCGTAGGATAAGTTTATTACTCCTTACCTGCTCTGGATATAAATGGGATAGTGGAGCTGGCGCGTAAGATTTCTAGTTTGACACTTCTTTCATAGTCATCAGTGCTCTGATGATGTTTTCTTTCCTTTTTTTTTTTTTTTTTTTTCACGAAAAGAGTTTTTTTTTTTTACGAAATGAGGGTTCTTAAGTCCACCAAGAGGGTGCAACCCAGTACAAAAGAATATACAGAATTTACATTCTCCTAAAGGAGAGAAGATCAAAGAGATCCAAAATATCAACACTATCAAAGATGCACTGCCCTTCAAGCAAAATAAGAAGAATTCTAAACTAATTTCTTGAGAAAAGGAAGTGAGGATGATGAGGGGAATCCTCCTCATTCAAGCATAGGGGCCTCCCTCATTTCATCAGATTATTCACAGTTATAATTCTGCCCCATGCTATCTCCCAAGAAAAAGATGCAATTCAGAACAAGGCTTTGGTTTTCCAAACTTGTTTCCAAGGAAAAACAATATAAAATGTTGACATCTTGATGGTTATTTATTCATGTTTTTTTTTTTCTAATCCATATATGATTTACATTACTCGAAGGATCTCGACTCTGTCTTGGTCCTCTCAAGTTTTGCTATTTAAGGATTCTATTCTAATTTTTTGTGCTTCGGATAACCTAACATTAATCCGTACTCTAAGTTCTCTCATCTGTGAGATGCCAAGTTCCATTAATCCGTACTCTAAGTGACATTCTATTGTGATTCATGAAAGTAAATTCCCCAATGTGATACTGACTTGAGATTTAACTTCCTTTGCAGCTTCATCTGAATGCTATATATGCCATACTACTGGCATCGGTTCTTGGTTTTGGGACAGCTATGGGCCTTAACTCATTATATATTCAGTATTTTGCTTGGCGTGTTCGTGTTACTCAGGACCCTAGTATGGCATGAATGGATATTACCTAAGAAAGCACCAGCAAAATTACATTTATGGAGATAGTTTTGTACATATTGCTAGCCAAGGGCTTTATATCAATTCAGCTTGGAGAGCATTCTCGCTATTCTATTGGTATTTTAAATTTTTGTTTGAGAGAACAACTTCTAAGGAATTTTACAAGTTAAAATGGAAAAGAGAGAGGCCATCAGAGAGATACATGGCTTGCTGTGCTTGCTTGACATCCGGAGTTCATATTTTACATTTGCATTTCCAGTATTTCACATGACAAAGGCAATTAAGTACGCAAGAAGAAAATGCGAGCATTATAAAATTTAAGGGTAAACTATATAGTACTAATAAACTTTTAGCATACATCTGCATGTGTCTGTGTTCGTAAAAATTTGCACACACAAACTCAAAATAAATTAGAATAAAGAAAACTGAAATGCTATAAAAATAGCCTAAAAATTTTAATGGTTAAATGAGCAACGATTAAAAAACTAAATCTAAAGTAGTAATTGATACAAACGTGGAAACACTAAATTAATTTACTCAAGTTATTATGCCTCTAACGTTAACAAATCAATGTAAAAAAATGGATGACATATAAAAAGCATAGTAAAGATGTACATTCTTACACTTTTCAAACGTACATAAACATACGTACGTTCTTATATTTTTTTACTCCACTTCTATCCAAGAGAAAATAAACCTACCCAACCATGAACTATAAAGATGTTTGGGTGCGCAGTACAAAAAAGAGACTTTCAAAATGAGAACAAATAGGAGAGAAATTGGATCATAATTATTTATTACTTGTCACAGTGAGGAGCTTGCCACTATTATTTTTTAGCCAGATTGTAGATTACATGCTCTGAACTGTGAAACTAGTGTTGACAAGTCCTACCGTGTCCTGTTGTTGGAATCTGAGGAGGAGTCTGAGTCATTGGCGTAGATCTCTTGTTCTGCTGAACATGTGCAGTAGGGGCTGGTCTGCGGTGTGAAACGGGGAGCCTGAAGTTTCCTACTGCTTGAGGAAAAATGCAAAGGTTCCTCTCCACTAGTACTTTGCCCAGAACAGTCGAGTAAGTATTGAGCTCGAATACATACAGCTACTGTCTGATCTCATGACGGAGGCCCCACTCGAACCTTCTTATCTTTCTACCTTCATCCATCATACTCTCAAAGGAATATCAGTCCAATTCTAGGAATTTTCGGGTATATTCTGATACAGTCATGTCACCCTGGACTAGGTGTGCAAACTCTATTTCTTTCAGATGTCGAAGATGCTCTAAGAGGTACTCTACATTAAAGGCCATCAAGAATTGTTCCCAAGTGACTGGAACGGGCATGGTGGGCTGCTTGAGTTACCACTAGCGGTCTGTCTCTCCCACTAGCATGTAGGTGGCAAGTACGACTTGCTGTTCGAGAATCACTCCAAGAGTCGTGAAGACCTTCTCTGTCTCAGCTAACCAGTACTCGATCTCTTCAAAGGAGGATTCTCCTGCAAAAGTAGATGAGTTTAGTCTTTTATACCTCTCAATGTAGTCTGTGTCCATCATGGGAGGAACTGGGTCCTGTAGAAGAGGGATTTGATTGTGCTGATGATGGACCGGATGACCCTGTGGTGGTACTGGATGATACAGTGGAAGCACCAGATTATACTGTGGTGGTGCCGTGTGATGCAGTTAGGGCACCGGGCTATACTGTAGTGGTGCCGGGTGATACTTTGGTTGGAGCACCAGATCATATTGTGGTGGTGCTGGATGGTACTGTGGAGGAGTAGGGTCGTACCAGGGTGGTTTAAGATCCTACTGCTGCAGGGGTCGCTCAATTTATGGTAGCGGGGGAGGGTCAGGTAGCTCATTCCTTTCCTCCTAGGCTTGTTGGCAGCGATGAGTCTCTTCAGCATTTCAAATAATCGGTCAACATCCTCTCGAAGAAAACCCTCCCGGGTTGCTCGGTTTAGTGGGGGTCTTCCTTTCCTCATCTGTCTGTACCTGCATTTCATAAAAAATGGTTGAGTAATAATTCATTCTTTGGTGTTTTCTACGGTTTTTGTGTAAGGAATGGTTCTGAGAAACGCGACTCTGATACCAACTGTAACAACTTGAACTTGAAAGGAAGTAAATATAAATTAAGTGCGGAAGCAAATAAATAGTGTTAGGGTTTACATTCCTTACACAATAATTCTGAATACTCAATAGGGTTACGGAAATGACCCTTCTAAAAACACAACTAATAATTAAGGAAATAAATGAAAAATAAACAAACTGAACGTCATACTCGCAACCCTCTTGTGGATCAGGATCTGGATCTTGGTCATTTTGACCTGAAATGATTAATAAAAGAGTAAGCTACACTAACTCAGCAAGAATGTCACACTACTCACCGATACAGAAATAAAGGTTGGTAAAAATTATGAAAAAAACTAATGGAGCTCTTATTTTAAGTAAGTTCATTTATCATAAATAAAATTATTTATTGTACACTTACCGTATCGAAATTTCCAAAACTGACCTATGGAGGCGATAACATAACAATATCATAATCTCATATTCAATTAATCAAAACAACAACTTTTCTTTTTAACCAGCCTATTGGTATCCCTTGGGGTCCATAGGGATGTCCCCATTATGCGTGAACCCTTATTCAATATTTTTAATTAATCGGCCGTCCCCATACCTCATTTGATATGAGAGCAAAAAATATCATCCCTCAATACTCTGTCCGGCATAAGGGTGAAACGGGTCATCTCCGTATCTCATCCAGTATGAACACCAAAACACCAATCATCAATACTCCGTCCGGTATGAGGCAATATTCACGGTAGGGTTCTCTATGTGCCCGATCCGTCCACTATTTCCCAGGATATCCTGTAAAACTATCATTCATCCATTCAGTCAATCAAGAAATTTCTCGTTTATATTTAATTTTTCAGTTTTTCAATTTAACTATGAATCATGCAAAACAAGCAATACATGCATCAAAGGACACAAACGAATTCTCATACCAATTTTATTATATTATCATGCATTCAAAACTACAAAATCAATCAATTAATTAAAACATGACAAATAGTAATAAATAATCGGTTCAAACTCTATTAGTAATCTTTAATTTTTGATATTTTTAAATCACGCAAAATATCAAATTATTTATAATTAGACTTCAATTTCATAACAGGGAATAGGGTGAGGGATTCTTACCCGAATCGGTGTCCGAACGCTAAACTTTCAGTTACGCATAGTAGCGGTCCTCGGGTTCACTGATTTTTTTTTTTTTTGAGATTAAAACACATTCTAAATACTTAAAAATACTTTAAAAATTCAAAATCGGTATTAGAAACCCTTTCTGGCCAATTTCGGGATTCCGGCACGACAGTGTCGCCATGTTCTGGCAACGGCACTACCGTACGCCATGACAGTTTGCCTCGGGTTGACCGTTTTCGATCAGTTTCGACTGATTCAACCTATTTTATACTCCTCTATGTGAGAAAACACGTTAAGAGACCTCAATTGGCCTAAAAAAATCGAAAAACAGAGACTTACCGGCAACAGAATTTTCAGTGCGGTGACTCTGCCGACTCACCTTCGTAGTTAGGTGTTTTACTTCGATCAACCTGTAGAAAAAGGAATGATAATTATAATGGTGAAAAAATTATACGAAACGAGAATCGGAAAGAGACTCATCGGATGCAGTTTTCAATTTTTTCCGCAGCAGCGCTGCCGGACTTTACCTGCAGTTTTCAGCTCATCCGTCAGTCATTTTACTCCAATTTGGCCATACGGGTGTTCAAAATCGAATTTCGAGCAAATAAATTTTTTTTTTACCTCTTTTGGTGTCGGAGGTGGCTCCGGCACAGTGGCGGGAGGCGGTCGGCTCCCTTCCCGACGATTGGTTCTTCTTCTCCAGCAGGGAGATCTGGTGTCCAGGGTTTGGGTTTAGTGTGAAGTGGGATATTTATATTCGTTTTTTTTTTTTAATTTAGGTCGTTCATCGCATTTGATCTGTACCGTCCAATCGCGTTTAAATAAGAAGTGAATCTGAACTGTTCATCGCGATTTGATCTGTACCGTACGATCGCATTTAAAAGGAGAACAGATCCGGATCGTCCACACGTGCAGGAACAAATCTGGACCTTCTGATTACGATCACGCGGATTGCCAGCGTGGCCTTGCCACGCGACAGACTCCGATTTGTCGCGACTACTGATTGGGCGTCTTACGTGACATATTTTTTATAAATTACGTTTTGACCCTCAATTTTTGATTTTTCTTTCAAAAACATCCCCAAAATTCAAATTTTTACCATTTTTTTTTAAAATTATTTTCAATTTCATCATACACTTATTTTTTTTCCTAATTTTTATATTAAATAAAAATTTATAAATTAAAAAATAAATTTTTATATATTAATTTTAAATTTATTTAAAATTAATTAAGGATATTACATGGTACCTGTCATAGAATATTTACATGTTAGGAGAATGATGAGTGCCAAAAGTTTGTCGCCAAAAAAGTACTTCAATGATTGCAATTGATGCAAAACGTGTAAAAATCACATTATCTCTTCTGGCCTTGTCGGATTTTTAACCTAAGTACTTTGTTATGCTTCATCGGCAAGATTCAGTGCTTGGGTTTCACCAACTTGATTAAGCACTTGGGTTTCACCACCTAGATAAAGGACTTGGGTTTTGCAGGCATACGCCAACTTGTTTTCCAATTGCATCACTGAGGCAACATAGTCAAACAAAGGCAACATAAACATTCAGAAAATCGTAAAAATAGCAAGCAAGAAACTATTGGTAGGCCATTACAAAAGTGATGGAAATACTAAAGTTTCACCTCCTAAGGCCTCCAAGAAAAATAAAAGACAGAACAAACTTGGACAGAAGTCAAGAAGAAGTTCAGTATGTAACTATGATTATCGATGATGAAGGTGGTGGACATTGAGAACCAAAGAGCTGGATCTCGTAACAGGCAGAGGTGACATTTTGCCTGCTCCAATCAGTCCAATTCCAGCATTCCTACCACCAAAAGGAGCCATTTCAATTCAGCTCCAAACAAAGAAGTGAAAGCCTAACGTAAATTACCCATTTGTCCACATCATAGAAGGAGCAGACAACCATAAAAATTTATAAGGAATAGAACCCCAGAAAAAAAAAAAAAAAAGAAAAGGAAGATACTAAGATACCAGTAAAAGACAAGTAATATAGAGAGTGGATAAATTTGGGTTAGGGATGGGGTGGAGAGTGAATGAGAATAAAGAGGAGAATTTTGGAGCTGAAGTTTTTAACTGAGGATAGTTGAAATTTAACCCTGGTGATCCTCAAAAAGGAAGCACAGAGTTTCAAATGTTTCAAGCCTATTCTCTTCTATGTCATAATTTAGGAAAGAATATTTTTCATTTTTGGAGGGGAACGAGGGTGAAATATTCTCATTCATTTCCATTACTGGAAACAGTTCCAATCAAAATAAATTTCCATTCTTTTCTCTGTCTTCCCTTCTTCCAAATGCACCATTAAAGATCATTAGTTAGGCTTGGGTTGGAAGATGTAAGGATCAGCTTGTGGTATTTCACCTGGTATAGAACACATGCATTAGATTTCCTTCACTTCTTAAAGCCACTATAGCATTGATTTCTTATTTGAAAATCAAGGCAGCATAAAATGTTTGACAACTCTTCTGTGTATATATGTGAAGTGTTCCCAGCTACAAATGTTGTCACCTTATTTCTCAACTCAATCCAACTACAACCAGGCATTTTCTTTATTCCTTGATCCACCATTGATTTCCTTATCATCTCTGCTTCATTCCATTGCTCGCTTGCACAGTACAAATTTGACAGTAACACGTAGCTCATCTCTCTATCAGGCTCTAAAATCTTTAAATCTTCCCCAATATAAGTCCCTGTTTTAACATCCCCATGTGCAGAACATGCTCCCAGCAGGACTTCACAGGAGGTGGCTCTGGCATTACCTGCGAGAGAATACCTTTTAGTCAACTCCTTTGCTTCTGCTAAATACCCTCCTCGACCAAGCATATCCACCATGCAAGCTACATGATCTGCTTCATGTGGAAGCTTGTAAACTGTCTCCATTAGTTTGAAAAAGGCTTTCCCTTTCTCTATAAGCCCTGAGTGACTGCAAGTCATCAATAACCCAATGAAGGTCACTCTGTCTGGTTTCACTCCAGATGCTACCACATCTTCGTAGAGTTGCAGAGCTTGGGTAGTCAATCCATGCATCCCAAACCCAAACAGCATTGCATTCCAAGATACCAGATCCTTGTCAAGAATATCATGAAATGCCCAGCTTGAACCTTCAATATCCCCACACTTAGCATACATGTTAATCAAGCCATTGCCAACATATGCATGAACAAGAAAACCGTTTTGAACCACACAAGCATGGACCATTCTGCCTAGCCCTAGAACAGCCAAACTTGAGCACGCATAAAGCGCAGCTCCAAATGTGAAATCATCAGGAAGTACCCCACTTTTTATCATATCAACAAAAAATGTAAGAGCTTGTTCTGCAGCCCCACTTCTGGCATACCCTGCTATCATAGATGTCCAAGAAACAACATTCTTATCAGGTGCTTTCTGAAACACATTAAATGCTTCATGGATGTCTCCCATTTTCATATGGGCATCGATAATAGCATTCCAAGACACCTGGGTGAGTGTCCCAATTGATTCAATCTCCTCCATAGCTTCAGTTTGGCATCCTAATTTTGCATAAAAACTCAAAATTGAATTCTTCACCTCCACTGCCACATTCCAACCAGTTTTCACAATAAAAGCATGCACCACGCATCCATACAAAAACTCAAATGATTCAGCACAAGCATGCATTAGGGAACTAAAAGTGCAATGATCAGGTGAACAATTACTATTTTGCATCCCCCTGAATAAATCCAAAC